GCCAGCTTCTCTGGGGAACTTGTTTTTAAATCCAAAGACTTGAACCACATTCCCTGCACATGAACGTGTTTGCTTTTATCCCTTCTCTTATTGTCTCCTTCCCATTTTAGTACCATTGTAGTTATAGATATCTGCATTTTTAGAAGGGTTTTACCCATTTATTTTTTTTAAACATTCAAGAACTGCTGACGTACTGTGGATATAGAGTATAAAACTTGAAAAATGCAGATGTTGAAGGAATAATAGGTATCTTGTGCTTTAATACTTTATGGCAGGATTGTACTATAAGCAAATGAATTAAACAGCTATGTAAATCACAAACAAAAACTAAAAATGAACCAAAGTGAAAAGGATAACTTCCAGGCAGTATCTTTCTATTGTAACCTGTTATTTAAGGAAATACTAGTGATTTCTTCTAAATAGGATGTAAAACTTATTTCAAATTACTCTTCCTCTGTCCTGCCTGCCAAGAACTCAAGTGTAACTGTGATAAAATAACCTCTCCCAGGTATATTGGCAGGTATGTGTGTAATCTCAGAATACACAGGTGACATAGATATGATATGACAACTGGTAATGGTGGATTCATTTACATTGTTTACACTTCAATGACCAGGCCTTAAGGGAAGGTCAGTTTTTTAAAAAATCAAGTAGTGTCTTCCTACCTATCTCCAGATACATGTCAAAAAAGAAAGGTGTTTGTGCTTCAGTTTTGTTTTTGCTCAGTAATATAGTCAAGCAACAGTTTGTTTCCCAGTGACCCATTGAGCTGTGTATGCATTTTTATTTCAAATAAAATATATTTGTATTATTTGTCATTCATACTATCCATCCATACCACACTATCTTCTGTATCAGGTAGTCTAATAGAAATATACCTGTTTTGTTCTAAAATTGTCTGAGCTCTCCTTTTTGATTCATCACTTCAGCCTTTGTTCTCAAGGTAAGATATTCAGCTGTATTGGATCTTATTTGCTGAGAATGTTTAGGGTTTCTGAAATTGGTTTTTGCCTTCAACTATTATGGACTCAGTGAATATCCAAAGATTTGTAAAGGACAGCCTCTTTAAGTATGAGCAATATCTATGGATCATGCTGCTCTTCACTCAGAGACGACCTGTTTTTCAAAGGGAAAAATGTAGTTGTCTTCTGGACCTGTCATTCAGAAAGCAAGGCCCAAGTATGGTCGTAGTCACTAGGCAGAGGTAGAAATGAAAGAATCCCTGCCTTAAACTTGCTAATATTTCACATTGGGTTATCTCAAAATGCTGCTTTCCTCTCCTTAGCTGACCTAGCTACAGACTTGTGGGAGAGGCTTTTTTTTTTATCCTGGTTCCCCAAAAAAGAACCAGAGGGAGTTTTGTGCTTCTTGTACTCCATCCAAGGCCAGTTCAAATTCCCACCTTTTTGAGAAACACTTAGCTGCATTCCATTCTACTTGTAATGCAAATAGATTCAAACATTCTTGCTTTTAATTTATTAACTCTCTCATCTTGCCTTCAGGCTATCCCATTGATTCCTTAGCTTAGACTTCAAAAAAAAATCTCTTAACCCCTTGACTATCTAAAGTTGTTACTTGCATAATTGGGAGGAAATCAACCCTCTGACCAAGTCTGGCGACACTCCCCGCTACCACCTTCTTAACCTCCCTTAGCAGAAATATTTGCTTGAATTGTATTTGTTTTATCACAAGCTGCTGAAATCAGCCTGTTGTACCCTAGGGCAAAGATTTCCCAGCCATCTGGAAAAGAGTTTTTTGTGGAGCCTCCCTCCTGTATTTGGTTTGAAATGGCACTGCTGAAGACTTTCATCTGAGCCTCAGTGGTTATCCCTCTATTGCTTTCCTAGTTCCAATGCCTGTTCTCTTTTATAAGCTAAGACTTTGGTGCTGGACTCATCTAGGTTTATGGGATACTTGGCAAACTTTTGGCATATTCTCTTCAAACTCAAAGAATGATAAATATTTGAATGCCAACTTGTGAATTTACAATTATCTATAAAATTACCAAGTAAACCAAATACTTGTGACCATTTTCTCATTTTTCAGCTACCTTCTATGAAAAATCAAAGGGAGATTAGTAATTACAGAACAAAGCTGGATTGTCCTGTAGTTTAAACTGAGCTAACTTAAATTTCTCCTTTGAACAGATAAGGTATATATAAAGGCACAGGGTATAAGCTCTCTGAGCACAAAAACAAATCTCACATCTCTTGAAATCCAAGGTATCAAAAAGCATTCTGTTAAGTATAAGCATATACAGTTGATTCTGGTTATTCAGCATGGTTAGGTTCTGTAAAGTCACTTTGAATACTGACAGTGAATACTGTAACTCATTCCTCAATTACGTTTTTTTGTTTTGTTTTATTTTTCTGAGAGGAGTTTCGCTGTTGTTACCCAGACTGGAGTGCAATGGCACGATCTTGGCTCACTGCAATCTCCGCCTTCTGGGTTCAAGCAATTCTGCCTCAGCCTCCCGAGTAGCTGGGACTACAGGCATGCACCACCATGCCCAGCTAATTTTTGTATTTTTAGTAGAGACAGGGTTTCACCTCGTTGACCAGGATGGTCCCGATCTCTTGACCTCGTGATCCACCCGCCTCGGCTTCCAAAGTGCTGGGATTACAGGCTTGAGCCACGGTGCCCAGCCCTCAATGAAGTTTAACAGGAATTTTCCCTGTAAATTCTTGTGCTTAGGAACATGGGACCACACTTAAGCACTACACTTGGTGGCCATTTTAAGTAGTGAAATCACCAGCAAAAGCACAAGAATTCAGCAAGTGTGGCACTAGATAGACCATGGAAAGGGCACTTTACAAGGGCTGAAGCCAGAAAGCAGGGCACTGTGTGGGACCTCAACTGGGAACATCCACATTGGACAAAAGTTTTTCACCACTCTGTGTGTCCATGAATGACCACAAAGGCACTACATGTATTGATTTGGGGATTACAAATACATTTTAGTGAGTAGGTGAATTTGCAGGTAGGATCAAAACTACACTTGCCACAGCCTCTCTTTTGGTTTATGGTAGACTGGCCAGTCAGTATTTCAATTTTCTGGGAGGGCCAAGGGTTTATTCCAGTAACACTGTTGGCCAGTTAACTTTCAGACTGCCTTCAACGTATGCCTAAATCAACCTTATTTCTTTTAAGTAAGGTAGATTCATGTAAATGTAGATGGATTTAAGGAAGGAATCAAGGAAGTGAAACTTGAGCTGGATGTGAAAGGTGAGAAAGGAGGCAATTTTAGACATCTACAACAGCGTGTGTGAAAATGTTACTGGAAAGGGGTCCTGGGTCCCATGCAGGAAAAGAATTAGGGGTGAGTCCATAGAGTAAAGTGAAAGCAAATTTATTAAGAAAGTAAAGGAATAAAGAATAGCTACTCCATAGGCAGAACATCCCCAGGGGTCTTTCATGGTCCCCTTTTATGGTCATTTCCTGATTGTATGCTGAACAAGGGGTGAATGATTCATGAGTTTTCCAGTAATGGGGTGGGCAGTTCCCAGAACTGAGGCTTCATCCCCTTTTTAGTCTGTATTGGGTAACTTCCTGATGTTGCCATGGTATATGTATACTGTCATGGTGCTGGTGGGAGTGTCTTTTAGCATGCTAATGTATTATTACTACCGTATAATGAGGCGTGAGGATGGCCAGAGGCCACTCTCCTTGACATCTTGGTTTTGGTGGGTTTTAGCCAGCTTCTTTACTGCAACCTGTTTTATTAGCAAGGTCTTTATGATATGTATCTTGTGCTGACCTCCTGTTTTATCCTGACTTAGAATGCCTAACCTCCTGGGAATGCAGTCCAGTAGGTCTCAGTCTCATCTTACCCAGCCCCTGTTCAAGATGGAGTTGCTCTGTTCAAATGGCTCTGACAGTAACAATTAGAACCCCATGTGAAGTTGATTTTTCTGGATAAAACTTGTTTAGAGAAGTTCTATCGTAAACAAAGCCACATGCATCACATTTTACCCAAGTTTTTACTATACTGCAGCTTTTTGTGTACGTTTTGAGAATATCCAAGAGAAGTCTGACCAGAGAAGAGAGTAGATTGTATCCAAGAATAATATGGATTTAGATTTGCTGGTCAGAATGGAGCCAGACATTCAGTTTGAGTATAGTAGATGGTAAGTTTTTGAGATGGCAAGTAACAAAGCAATTTTGAGGAGTTCACCCTCTCTACTCTTCTGGAACCTCATCAGGACACTGAGGGAGAAAAAAAGGTAACATCTTTGGCTACTTTTCTAGTTTTTTCCTCTACTTTGCATAATCCGTTTCTAAAACAATGTTTTCCTCTGCTCTATTTTCCGCATCCCTGTAGCTTTGGTTCCCACTGACTGTGTTTCCTGTTGCTAAAGCCTGTTATTCCTGGCTTCAGTTGGTTGTTGGCCTGCTAGAAGGTACAAGGGTAGCCCAGCTGGAGTATGATCTGGGTTCTGGACTTCCTTTAATTCCTTAGATTGAATGTGTGGCCTCCTGCTGGTAACTGCTATGGAGAACACCACTAGCTTTGATTTATTTGAAAGTGATATATTTGACTTAAAACTTTTTAGTATAACTTAGCTTGTCCCATTCTAGTGTGTGTGTGTGTGTGTGTATTTCATTCTGCGAGAAAAAAAAAATAGATGCAAAGGCTTGTTATTGTAGCCCCACCGCCTTTAATTTGTCTATACAGTCTCGTGAAACAACTGCTCCTCTCTTCATGGTACTGCCACTATTAACCACTTACTGCCTAACACAACAGTCCCTTACGCTGAAGATGCTAGCGTTTTGATGACTGGGGCCACCTTATATACTAGTAAAAAAATAAAGAGCAATACAGACTGAAATGCAATTAAGGGCCCAAATATGTGGCTCAGGGGTAAGGGTCACCAGCCTTTCCACATAATGAAGCCGGTGTGGCCGAGAAAAGCAATGACTGTTCTGGCAGAGCCCCTTGTTCCTCCCTCCCACACGTACACACCTTTATCTCAGAGACACTGGGTTCTTTTCCCTAAACTTCTTTGACTCTTAGGCCAACTACGTGCGTCTGAAAGCCCAAGAAGGGAAAATGGGGGAGGGGGCGTGTCGCCCGCTACCACGGGTTTCTGTCCCTGGAAGGCTGGGGGAGGCTGGGGGAGGCGCTGGATGAGCTTCCTCAGTCCAGCTGCAGCCGACCTAGGTCCCAGTCCTGCCCTTTGCTCTCCTGCTTTCCACTGAGTCCCGAGGCTCTAGAGGGTGGGCGTGAGAGTGGCCCTAGCGGGGAGGCTCGGAGGTCCTCCCGGGCTGTTCAGACGGCCCCAAGCGGTAGCCACGTTCTGATACTGGCCAGAAGCCAGGGGAGGGAGCTTGGGGTAAGGGGAGGGCCCTGAGGGAGGGGTCAGACGCTTTAGGAAAGAGTTAATGCGAAGAGGGGGAGGGGATAGGACGGAGAAACCGAAGGGAAGCCTCAGGTAAGAAAAGAACGTAGGAGAGAAGCCTGGTGGGGAGAAGGGAGCCCGCAGGATCAGGGGTCAGAGTTAGGGGGCTTCCCCTCTGCTGCACCCTCCTCTCAGGGCCGCCAACTTCCAGCTGCAGCGGCGACTTTCAGTTTCATTTCCGCGGACCCTCCTGCCTGGGCCGCAGCCGCCGCCGCGATGCCCAGTAAGTTCAGCTGCCGGCAGCTCCGGGAGGCGGGCCAGTGTTTCGAGAGTTTCCTGGTCGTTCGAGGACTGGACATGGAGACAGATCGCGAGCGGCTGCGGACCATTTATAACCGCGACTTCAAGATCAGGTACGGGCCGGCCCACTCCCGGCCCTGAATCGCGGGCCCAGCTTGCTGCCACGACCCCCGCGCGGGGGCCACCTTTTCCCGCCCCGGGGCGCAGAGGGACGCAGCTCCCCCAGCGGCTCAGGCCAGTCCTGGGGCGGCGCAGACCTCCCCTCCCGCGCCTCGCCCACGCCCCGCCAGCGCCGCCCGGAGCCCGCCCGTTCTGCCCGAGCTGGGCCCCTGCGCCAAGTCCCCGCGGAGAGCCTCCTGGGTTGCCCGCGCCCCCGGCGGCCGGAACGCAGGGCCGGGGGCCGGGTCCTGAGTCCACGCGCCGCTCGCGGGGCTGGAGGACAGCTCTCCCAGTGGGGGAGGGGAGCCTCCAGAGGGGGCCCGGGCATCGCGGGAGCGCGGGGAAAAAGCTGCCTGTTGGGGGCTGCGAGCCCAGGCGCGGGCTTTACGGGGACCTCTGCCACCTTGTTGAGGCGCTGCTGCCTCGGGGGTCCGCTATTGGGAGAGCTGAAGAGGCCCAGGGTAGAAGGGAGAAGCTCTGGAAAGAAGAAAAGGGCACAAACTACGTAGGTACCAAACCTCCATTAGCACCTGTGGCTTCTCCATGGAGACAGGGCCAGCCTTCTGGAGGCTCCCTTTCACCGTGCGCTGAAGGCTGTTTGGTCTCCTTTTCCTGTTACCACCCAAGTGAAAATCAAAGAGTCTTCTGTCAGACCACAGAATTGCGCTTCAAAAACACGTATATCAACAGGCTTCTGCCTTGCGTGGAAAACCAGGAAACAGTTTAACAAGAGTAAACGTAAAGACTTGTACAAATAAACATAAAGTAGTGGGAATCCGGGCTTAATAGCAGACCTCCCGAAAAAGACCTTGCGTTTTAACAGACCAAAGGGCCAGTACGGGTGACATGTGGCTACTAAAACGGCTGAAGGCTAAGATTGAGCTAATAAGTGTGATTTGGGGCAGGGGGAGAGGGTAGGGACTCTCCATATTGATCACATCGCGTCTGGAATATTGTTTTCACTAACGGATATCACATTTTGAGAGGGATATTAACAGGCTTGAACAACATCTAAAGAAGGGGCAAAGATGATGAGGCCCTGTTTTATGTCACCATGCTGGTCACTATGGGGACTCTTAAGATGGAAAACACACAGTCCCAGAGGAGCAGCAGAGGCTATGATATGCATGCAGCATACATGTACACAATACACTATAGTACATGGTAAAATGGAGGATTATACTAGGGGTGATAAGAAAAATGCGGGAGGGAGGAGCAAGCATTCACATCACATTGTGTCAACACAGGTATGTGAATTCACCTACATCCACAGAGTACAGCATGGCTGTGAAACAAGACATCTACTTCTTTTGGCTCTGTTAAGGAAAAGTAATTGGTTAAAATGGTAAATGGTAAGGAAGACTTGACCCGAGGCTATGGTAATAGGGCTGTTGCAATAGGGAAGAGAGATGGAGCTCAATTCCAAACACAGCAAAGACAGCTGGGGATTTATGACCAATGAACAGAGTAAGGGGACCCATATATAGAAAATTAGTAAGAAGAACCATCAAGAGTGGGAGGATTTTTGCTCACCTGACCTAACAAGATTGTTGTTAAAGGCAGACCAAGGACTTGGACATCAAAGGCGGGAATGAGGAACTTGATCAGATACCAAGTGTGATCATGCGTGAAGGGTGAGGAGTCTCACTAAAATGCCTTCAAGATTCCTTGTAAAACTAACCTAGGTGTGCCCAAGACTGAAGGGTTTGGGGAGCCAAGGTCAAGGGCTAGTCAAGAAGAGGGCTCAGGGGAACCTAACAAATGTTTGATCAAGGAGAGTCTTTGTCAGCTCTACACCAAAGGTACATAGTATGTTTTAGTACTGAGGAAAACTGGTTGTCTTAGACAGCATACAGAAAGCCATATATACTGTACGTTATGGGTGAATGTAGGCGTTTTCCAAAGTAATTTTTACTGTATACGATTGTGTTCATGCAAATCAGATACCACTTCTCTGTAATTGTTAGGGGAAGTGATGTTCTGAGAAGGTGGCATTGACCTTGGCCTTGAAAATAAAAGATAGAATTTTAGTACATAGAGGAGGAGGAAAGGCCTTCTCTGTGGGTTCATATTGTATCCTGAGACCCAGTGAAAGAAAGTGAGAAATGTTTGCCTCAGAAATAGAAATATCAGACAGGACAAGGTAATTATCCTTGACTATTTTGGAGTTTTAACATGGAGAGGATTATACTCCTGTGTCGCTCCAGAAGGCAAAAGTGGGTTTTATCAACTATCCCCGCTCTGTACTCTCACCATGTTGGGGAAATTTAGGTTCACATTAAAGAATTTGCCTACACATCCTTTATTTATTTTTTGAGATGGAGTTTTTGCTCTTGTTACCCAGGCTCTGGAGTGCAATGGTGCGATCTCGGCTCACCGCACCCTCCGCCTCCTGGGTTCAGGCAATTCTCCTGCCTCGGCCTCCTGAGTAGCTGGGATTACAGGCACGCGCCACCGTGCCCAGCTAATCTTTTGTATTTTGAGTAGAGACGGGGTTTCACCATGTTGACTAGGATGGTCTCAATCTCTTGACCTCGAGATCTACCCGCCTCAGCCTCCCAAAGTGCTGGGATTACAGGCTTGAGCCACCGCGCCCGGCCAAGAACTTGCCTACACATCCTTTAAAACTAGGCTGGACTGGGCGCAGTGGCTCATGCCTGTAATCCCAGCACTTTCAGGATGAGGCAGGTAGATCACTTGAGGCCAGGAATCTGAGACCAGCCTGGCCGACGTGCTGAAACCCTGTCTTACTAAAAATACAGAAAAAAAAAAAAACAGGCATGGTAGTGTACTCCTGTAATCCCAGCTACTCGGGAGACTGAGGCAGGAGAATTGCTTGAACCCAGGGGGCAGAGGTTGCAGTGAGCTGAGATCACACCACTGCACTCCAGCCTGGGCAACAAAGTGACTCCAACTCAAAAAAAAAAAAAGCCAGGCTGGGATGCAGTGAAGTCAGCCCTCATTTCCCAATAGGAATTAATTGCTTTTTCTCTGGGCTGTCATGGCCCTTTCTTTACACCTTGGGTATAGCCTGGTATTATTGCTGTGTTATGCTCTGCCTTTGTGGCACATGACCATCTTCCCCTGGTACCAAACACTCAGATCCTCTACCATTAGTCAGGTTTACATCTGTCTTCAGTCCCCAGCATAGAGTTTTGTATGTAGCAGATGCTCAATAAATGCTTACAGAATCTAACTGAACTAGTAACTAGAGTTAACTAACAAGAGAATGGGCTACAAAGCAGGGGGTGTAGCGAGTCACACTCTAGGAATTCTAGGAGATTCCTACCCTGGGAGGAGACAGGTCCCTCCAACTAGGTTACTTTATGATGTTACAAAGTGCTCTGCTCTGAACTCTTGCCTTTCCCCATCCATCTTTATTCATTAAGCAAATGTATTTACTGAGGCTCTACTGCGTGCTTGTCCCTGCCTCCAAAGAATATAATCTAGTCGGGAGCAGCAGATATGTGTAGACAACCAAATGTAATACAATAGCATAGGTGTTAGTCATGGTGGTTCGATAGCCCTGCCATTTAGTGGTTGCCTATAACTATGAACAACTCTCTAAATCTTCCATTTCCTCAACTGTAAGAGTATGTAAACCAATGCCTTTCTTTCAGGGTTGAGCTGTCTAGGCAAAGCATCTGCGTAGCTAGCATATTTCGCTGGCTGTGTGAGTGGTACCCCTCATTAGTCCAGTGATGATGAGGAGTTCATTGTATAGGGTAAGGACTGAAGTCACGAAAGGTTTCTGAGAGAAGATGATTCTTTGCACAGGAGACTCATTCTTCTACAAGCACTAGCCAGGCAGCTCCTGTGAATGGCAAAGCAGAGCGAGTTGCTGGAAGGACACAGAAGGAGCCCAACTGACCGAGGAAGGAGGCAGCACTTAGATGTCGCTTAACTCCGGTTGAGATGAGTGCTTACAAGGAAAAGTCCAATATGCATTGAGAGGATATGATTTGGAGATCTAACCTAGGCTGACAGCCTAGACTAGATCAAGAAACCTAGGCGGAGGTTTCTTGGGGACGGTGATATTTGAGCAGAATCTTGAAGGATTAATGGGACTTCGCAGATGTAAGGGGTTAAGGAGACAATGTTCGGGCAGAGGGAACAGCGCCTTCAAAGGCTTGGGAATGACCTCAGAAGAACAGGAGGCCAGCAGGGCTGTGGGTCAGCATTGCGAGGTGTTTGGTTTTGTCTTTAATCTTAATGGAAATAGGAAAACACAGAAAAATTCAAAGTAAGAGACAGACATAATCAGATTTAGAAAGATCATTCTGGCTTCTGGCATGGAGAGTGGCTTGATGGTTGGACCTCTACCCACAATTTAAAAAAAAAAAAAATTTTACTTTGGGATCTAGCATACACAACCTTCACAGAACAATACCTGCCCTTTAAACAATACATAGTTTCACTCCCTGCTCTCTGTTATTTTTTTTCTATTTTATTTCAATTTTATATTACTGGCCTTGACCCACTAATGAGAGTTGCAATCCGTAGTCTGTGGCACATGAAACTAGATGTCTCTTTAAGATCACTTCCAAATCTGGTCATATGTTCTGAAATACCATTCCTCTAGCTTTTGGCCTTTCCTGAACTGGGTCTAAAAAGATTAGCCATTGTTCACCCAACAAACAGCAGGGGCGGCTTAAGGCAGGGCAGTGCAGGCTAAGGATGCCCCCAGAGCAGAGGTTTGCAGAGGGGCACGGTGATACGAGTCGCTGGGAATGGCTGAAATAAGGATGGATTGACAAGAGGCCAAATGTGGGTGAGGATGTATACCTCAATTTCTTTTTCTCTAAAGTGGGATGATATTAATTACTACCTCAAAGGGTTGTTTTGAGGAATGAATGAGATAATGCATTCAGGAAATGTTTTCTGTCGTTACTGTATTTGCATTATCATTGTTACTACGGAGGATCTTGAGTGTGCCAAATTAAAGACTTAATTC